GCATATGGTATTTTTATTTCAAACATTTGTTTTTAAAGAACATAAGAGAAAAAGAAATACTTTTATATTTATCCACAGATTGACCATTTCTGCTGCATACTGTTATTTTCTAAGACGCAAATTGCCACCTAGTATCATTTGCCTTTACCTAAAGAATTTCCTGTTACATTTTCTGTAGCTTAGTTCTGCTTGATGATTCTCTTAATTTTCAGATATCAAAAAAATTATTTCATCTTTATTTTTGAAGGACATTTTTGGTGGCTGTGGAATATTGCCGTGACTTTTTTTTCCTTTCAGGACATTAGAATGTTGTTCTGTTGTCTTCTTGCATTGTTTCCACTTAAAATTCAGCCTTCATACTTGTCCTTATTCTCCTGGGTGTCTCCCCCACCACCAACAATTGCTTTTATTTATTTTCAGCTTTCAGAAATTTGACTGTGACTGGGTGTGATTTTAATTATATTTATCTTTTTCTGAGATTGATAAACTTCTTTGGTCTATGGTTGATGTTTCTGTAAATCCAATTTGGTAAGTTACAGCCCCTTAGTCCTGCTGATATTTACTTTATCCCATTCTTTGTCTCTAATAATCTCTTTTTCTAAGAATCTAATTATGTGAATGAAAGACCACTTCTCACCTTCAGGCAGATTATTGATACCTTTTTTGGGTTTTTTTTGGTAGCACCTTCCTCTCCAGTCTGAGTAATTTCTGTTAGGCTGTCTTCATCCTGAATGAGCTTTTCTCCTAAGTGAAGGATATCTGGCCCATGTCATTAATTTCAGGTGCTATGTTTTTTCATTCTAGAATCTCAGTTGACTTTAGGGTTTCATATTCATTCTTGAACATCCTATCTCTTTATGCATTATGTTTATTTTTTTCTGTAAATTTTAACAATTGTAATAGTTGTTCTAAAAGCTTATCTGATAACTACCAACTAGGAATTGCTGGTCTGCTAACTCAGGTAGTTTTTCTCTGGATTATTCTTTTTTTCCTTGCTTTTTTGTGCCTCAGAATTTTGCAATATTCTAGACCATAAAGAGTAGTAGAATCTGAAATACACAGCAGAGGTTCCTCACGTCTCAAGTTTCAAATAATGGGAGCTGGTGGAAGAATTGTCTTTTCCGTTGTACCACCATTCCCAAAAGATCCTTTGTGCCTGAGTGACACCAGTACCGAGGATTATCTGTGTGCTTGAGGAATGATACCAGAATCAGTGCTCAAGGACATGTGCAAAGTAAGAATTATTGATGGAACCACTCTATGAGCAGAGACCTCCTGGAAAAGCTGGGACTCCCTGTCTTTCTGAAGTGAGTTTTCCCCCCCTTGATTACATTCAGTGACCAGAAGTTTCCAAGCCATGTCCAAAATTTAGCACTTGAAACTGTTGGGAAATATGTTTCTGTCATCTGGCTGACTGGCATTTTGCAATGCACATGTGAAAATACGTACTTCAAAGTAGATCTTTTATGACATTACTATATGTTCCTGGGCTTCACAAGAGTCCCCATGTGCGAGCAATGCCTTGGTGATTGTAAATGCCTTCCACCTGCTCCTAAAATTGCTGCTGAAATGTTCAGATGCCAGGAAACAAATTTACATCCCTTAGAGATTTAAAGAAGACCGAGTTCACTGCCTTATTTTTAAAAGAATGTGTTGAGAAGCACCCCCTTACCACAGTTTGTAGAAAGGAAGGTAAATACAGTGGACCAAGGATGCCTGATGCCAGGTAATTGTAGAAACAACTCATTGTTTGAGAGCTGTAACCCCAGGATGATTCCTAGAACTTTTGTGGAAAGGCTCTTCCTTCCAGAAATCCATCTGTCATCTCATACTGACATGTAGAATGCCAGCATACAGAAACCAGTTCTTTTTTTCTTTCCACTGTTTCTTAATCTCAAGATATCTGAACACATAACATTTATGATTTCTTATATTCTTACTCTGTATTCAGCTATTCCCATCAAGACCCCTAAGTTAAAAGAACTGAAAATTATCTTTATTTATGCTTTGGGTTTTTCATATAAGAAAAGCCATGTGATATTTAAGCTTCTATGTCTGATTTATTTGACTTAACATTATAATCTCAAGGTATATCTATTTTCCTACAGATGACTCAAATTTATCCTTCTTTAGAGCAGTGATACTCTGTTGTATGTAATTACCACATTTTCTTTATCCATCTGTTGATGACATCTAGCCTGCTTCCAAGATTTAGCTATTATGAATTGTGCTGTTATAAACATGGGTGTGCATACATCCCTTTAACTCTTTTTGGAAAGGTACCTGAAAGGAGAGTCGTAGGGTCAAATGGAATTTCTAGTTTCACTCTTGAGGAATCTCCACACTGATTTCCTTAGTGGTTACACGGGTTTATATTCCCACCAACAACGTAAAAGATAGACAACAGGAAGTAGGAAGATAGACCTTTCTCAGAGGGGAAGGGAGTCAAGAAATGGAGGGAAGGAAAGAGATGAAAAGCAGAACTAAGATTTGTTCGTACACATACCAATTCCACACAAGGAATATAAATGTTATGTACTGCACACATGTACAACAAACAAAAAGCAGGGGATCAGAAGATGAGGGGAAGGCAGACGAGGGAGGGAAAGGTGATGGTGAAAAAGGAATTGTGATATATTATACACATGTGCAGGATCCCCACAAGGAATGTGAACATGATACACTCCCCATACAAGTACAAAAAACCTAAAACCACTTTCTTTGCAAGAATTCTTTTTCATTGATTAAAAGTAACCATTGCTAATTAAGGTCTGTCCTGGCATTTTCTTTAGCCTTAAAATGGAAGGTAGCGCAGAAAAGAAAAAAAACAAAGAATTCTCCCAACAAATGCCTGGTACTTGGGTGTTGAGAGCAGAATGTGTACGCTCTTGCCAGATGAGGTTAGCATGTGACATGCGGAGCTATTTCCTATGGTGGCAAGAGACTGTGGGAGGGGCTGATAACTCCTGTGAAGGCCCTGTCTCTTTCATTCCATTGATGCCATCAGCAGCAAACTGTAGGTACAGTCAGAATCCTGTTTCTCCTCTACCGAACCTGCCAGGATGGAGGATCTGATTTCCAGTGTTATCTTCTCCAGTGCCATACTTGATAGCCTTTGAGAGCAGGAATAGGTCACAAACCTTTCAGTACTTCATTTTAACTTTATTTCATTCATTCATTTCTCCATTCTTCCCATTCATCCTCCCTAGAGATACTATACTGACCACAGACACAGTAGTCATAGCCTGTTTTCTATCCATTTGAAATCATATAATACCACTAATGTGAGTAAAGTATTTTACCAATGGTGTTTTGCTGAAATAATGACAGAATTAGTGATGCTCATGGATTTTAAAGATTTTAAGTTGAAAAGAATTTAAATTGATATATTGTATTGATTAAAGGAATGTAGTACAACAAAAATAATATGCAGAATTGAATACTATTGTCTTTATGTCAAAAAAGACAGAAGTTCAACTCTAGAAATGTCATTCTTCTCTATCATCTATTTTTACGATGCTGCCAGGAGGAGCTACATATCTTATTCTATTTTACTAAGAACACATTATGCAAAGTTAGTAATAAAGAACTAAAGTAAATGTAAGCAGATTTACTTTACCAGGAATGTTCTATGCTGGCAAAAATTGTCAAAGTTTGTTGATGTCAAAAATTTATAATATTGTATGTAATCATTTTTTATTAGTTGAATTTTTCTATTATGCAAGTAATATGCAGTAAAATATTTGTGGCTGCTAAATCTTTACTACTAGTGTGGAAGCATGTGCGTGTGAACTCTGCAGAGCAGGGACTCAGTGATTATTTGTTGACTGCTTCAAATCTTATGGTGTCATATGTTTGTATGGTACTCCAGTGTCAGCATTTATACCTAGGTTAGCTCATTTAATTACCATATCAGGTTTTTGAGACAGTCAGCATGAATGCTGTATCTGTAGTTCAGGACACAACTAGGATAGAAGCAGATCTCAAAGTCTAATAGTTGATAGATTTTGTTTTTCCTATCAACCACCTCGGTAAACAAATTCGTATTATAATTGTTGTGGGCCAGTCACATATTTTAATGAACTCTTATAACATCCCTATGATTTACTAGTACTGTTAATATTTCCATTTTAGAGATTGAGAAGCTGAGGCACAACAAAGCTAGCTAAGTTAGCATGAAGCCATGCAGTTATAAGTGTCAGCACTAAGATGTAGGCTCAAGCAATGTGAGTTCACAGCCAGAGGACTCTGTTGGACTAATCACTGCTCCAAAGATTGTCCAGGTCAGTACATGAGCCAAATTAACTATGTAGTGATTTCTTAATGACTTCATTAAATTACTTGCTATTATTTTATGAGACACTCATTGAATGTTCTTGTCAATTTATAAGCCAGAGGCGATGGTTTTATAAATATGGGTAAAGAGGCATACGCAAGAGGAAGTAAGACAGACAGAGAGAGAGAGAGATCACAAATTTAAGCCCAACCTGAGCAACTTAGCAAGACCCTGTCTCAAATTTAAAATTAAAAAAGAGGGCTATGACTTAGTGAAGAGGGCCTGGATTTAATCATTAGTTACACACATCACACACACACACACACACACACACACACATATTCTAAATTGAATCAATATTGATTACCATGAATAAATCATAGTCATAATGAAAGGAGAAATATGCTGAAGTGTTAATATCGCCCTTAACCTACAAAACAAAAGCCTAAATTCCACTGTGACAAAGTGATGGACCATTGTGCTAGCAGTTTGCTGGAGTGGTCCCAGGTGTGTCACACCACTGCCAAATTATTACTGCTATGCTGGTTATGTTCAATATATTGTTTGTATTTTTCAAATGCAGGGACTGAAATATATGCCTGCTGGGAATGTACACTAGTTTAACCTCAATTCTACACCAGTCGTCATTACTACTGAAGGTTGGTTATTCTCACATGTACCCCAAAATGTTTTTCCTCACAGGATTTTTTTTTTCTTTCTATAGAACAAATTGGCCAAGAAATGTTGGAAAACCTCAGTCATGACAGAGAAAAGATACAGCGAGCTCGTGAAAGAGTAAGTACAAATGACACAGTCTTTTACATGTTCGGTAAATGAGCAGACATAAAAGATTTTGGAACATACACAGACAACAACCATGACGTACAAGAGAGACAAGTACATATGTGTAAACCTGGCTGCGGCGAACGAGGAGGCAGAGGCTACCAAGAGGCAGCGGGTAGGCAACGACTAGAATAGAAGCCTCGCATGGCCGTCTCTAGTGGCCGCGGGTAAGATGTTCTATTTAGTTTTGGGGCTGAGAGGAAAGTCATCGAGGGAGATTTCCGCCTTACAGAGCAAGGGGGTGTTCTACCTTACAGAGCAAGGACTCGAAAGTGCTAATGTCTTGTCTTTCCTTCCTTCATTTCATTTCTGTTTTTATTTTTAGGGCTTTGCATCTTTCTACATTAAAGATCAATTACCAGACATATATTGAACTTTTATCAGCTTGCATGACATTTGCTTTTATATCCAGTTCAAGTATCCATTTTAAAACTCCTAGGATTCTGTTCCTCATGTCTTTTTCTGAATCTAAATTTTTTAGTTTATGTAAGTGTCGGCAAAGTATTTATGTTTGTGCATGTAAACATATTGTATTATTTGGATTTTCTATTATGATATAAAATCATGGCTTTCCATATGCTTTAGAAAAATCTAACTGCATGAAATTTTGTTTTGTTTGATTTTAACCATGCTTTTCTACCCCTAGCTTCGAGAAACAGACGCAAACTTGGGGAGAAGCTCCAGAATTCTGACAGGGATGTTACGAAGGTAAGAGCAAGGTAGGAACCAGACTTCCTCTCTCTTTTCTCTTTTTTTCAAAACTGTTTTTTTTCCCCATCCAGTTGCAACAGCAAATTTTACAGGCTTATGAGCTGCTGCTCTTTGTTCCCTATGTCAAGACCCTTTTAAAATAACAGAGCACTGACTTTAACTCTTGTTTGGATGGGGACACACACTGAGTAACTCAGATTAGAGCGAAGGCTTGAGCTAGGAGGGTTACCTCAAGCTATGGAAAAATTAGGGTTACACATGAAGTATTTTTTCATAGCCTGAGGAAGGCCCCATGGCAGAAGCAGCTGACTTTATTTTCTGTTTGGATAGAGGGAGCACAGGCCTACGACGTCAGGAGCATACTTGCTACCAGCTTTGCTCTCTGTTGCCTCATTTTCATTTCTCCAAGGGACATTGTTCAGGGAAACGTTTTCATTTTAATGTCTATAGTTAAGATGACTTATAAATTGTCAAGATCATCTGAATGATCTAAATTCATATATACCAGCAAACAAACCTTTATGTTTTACATATGTAACTCTACTTTGATGGAAAATATTTGGGAGAATATAAAAAGATAAATTAATGAAGGTTGGTAATATTCTGTTTAAGTATATTCAGCACACAATTATTTTACACTCAGGTGATGCCAGCTTGGAATTGTGTATGGAAAAGTAAATGAGAAATCTCGAGAATGGCCTCGTAAGAGCTGAACTGAATTTGAAGAAAGAAAATCTTTGTAGCTAATACTACACAGATAACTCTTTAAAAACAACAAAAGCCTTCTCTGATCCTGTACCCATACGCAGGAGTTTGCTAAAACTATGACTTCTATGTTAGAGATTTATTCCATAAGAGCCAATTAAATGTATAATTATTCCATCTTCAAGGCTGATGTGATTCATCTATCAGCTTGATCAGTAGTGAGCCTGAAGTTCCTGGGACACTGCCACTGGAGAATCCCACCGCCCCTCCTTTTCCTGGATACATTGTCCCAGCTCAGGACCGTAAACCACTGATTCTCTGATTAAGAATAACATGTAAATGACTTCATAAAATCTCAGGATTCACAGAGAAGGAACTTTGATTGAAAGAAATGCTTCAGTGCCTAAAGACAATAAAAAAAAAAAAAAGAGGAAAAAACCTCTGTAGCTTCCAAGGAGGGCCTCTGCGATGTGAGCTGTAACAAATATTCTGCATATGTCTCCATTTTGCCAAATCTCATTAAAGAGTCCTCCTGCTTTATGTCAATTGAGCTGTCCAGAAATCATTCATCATTTTTAGTGTAAAAAAAAATCAGGTGGTTATTTCAATAATATCATATTAATGTTAAAGTTCAGCTGTCATTTAATGGTATGGCTTAATCAGCTGTAGCATTTAGGAAAAATAGTTTATTCAGGCTCTCCATAGCTTTCCAGTTGGCAGATTCAAATAAGGATTTATGAGTTTCTAAACCAATATATTTCTGCCCATGTTTCTGCTTGATGTACCTCACCCTTTAGCACAGGACACTGCAGACAGTTATTTCAACAAATAAAGCATCCCCTCATATTGTGTTTGAATAAATTTGCAAGTCATTTAGATGGGGAGAAGCATAAACAACTTTTGCCACCTTTGACTGAGCTGTTTTGCTGTAGGGAAATCATACTAACACAGTGCCTCTGAAGCCTAGAGAAGGAAATTACTGTGGTGAAATCTACTCTGCTTTCTCTTTGTGAGTAATTCAGTCAATTACGGACTTAGCTCCTTTTACAGTACATGTAGGATATGAGCAGAAATAAAGAGCGCCAGGTGGACATTACCTTGCTTTGTCTTAGCCAAAGAAGCCCTTCCAGCCACCTGTGTGTGTCTGTGTGACAGTGTTTCTCACTGGGCACAGCTCGGTTATGCAGGTATTTTTATCATTGCTATAACCTACCTGGGACTTTAGGAACCAAATGCATTGCAGTGGTTTGGGTTTTGTTTCTAATTACTGTCTCACATGTTATATGTTATATTTCGGACTTGGGAAAACTACAGAAAATCGCTTGCCTACTTCTTGACTTCGTTATTTCAGGTTATGGAACCTTGCGTATCAGAGTATTTGATTTTAATCTTTTGATTTGCATCCTCTGTAATATCCCTACTGTTCACATGGCACTTGCTCCCAGCACTGGTGAGGTTTTATTTCAGAAAGAGAAGCCATGTTTCCTTACTCTTGTTCTTAACAAAACTGTATGGTTCCACCATGTGGCAACAGGTGATTCTGACTTAAGGAACCCTATAATATTAAACCATGCACTCATCTGTCACCTCCATAAATGTGTAAAAGAAATGTCCTCTTCCTGCACTGTATTTATTTACCTACAGACAATATGTCTTCTATCATATCTAAATTCTGCGTGACTGAGAATAAATACACTATATCAAACCAAGAACTTATTTTACTTAAAAAGTTTATGGATTATTTTTAATTTTTCAGTGTTTATCAGTTTTAGATTATAAAATGGACAGCAAAGGCATGGCATAACCTCTCATTTGGAGAATCCTGAAAAAACAAAATACCTTCATCCTTGCCTTCGAAATGCTTCAATGCAATAGCAGATGTGTACATAAAAATGTACTGTGGAAAAAAAATGTACTGTGGGAATTCCCAAAATTAGCTAATTCTCAAGAATGCTATTAAAGACTCTACAAATTTTTTTTTTTTTTAGACAAGGTCTCATTATGTAGTCCAAGTTGGCCTCGAACTCACTATGTAGCAGGCTGGCCTGGAACTCACAAGTATTCTCTTACCTCGGCCTCCTGAGTGCCAGGATTCTTGACTTGCACCACTGTACCCAGTTAAGATCTTTGCTGACCATTTGAAAAGACAATAGGAAAACAATCAATAGACAATGTGATTTAAATAGAAACATAACCAATGTTTGGGTTCAAGTTTATAAAATAATATTATAAAATAATAGATGATTTATGGAATCATAAAACATATAACAAGTTTTGAAAGGAACTGAAGTATACAGATTAGTAAGAGCAACTAGTCAAAAAGAAATAATTTCCATGCAACTCTGCTGTCTTACCAAAAGAAAGCAAACAGAAGAGAACACGGGCCCATTCTAAATTGTAATAGCAAAACTTAACATTACAATGAAGCTATGCTAATTTTCTGGGAAGTAATTTTTCTTCTATCTTGACATATGATAGAGAGCTACGTAGGGAAAATCTGTTCATTTCCTGACTCTGTACACAGAGTTTAAATAAAGTGGAATTCAGATAATCATGAAAATAACCATGAAGCAAATGAACATTTGTGTAGTAGCCAGGGCCAACAAGTTGATTTTCAATAACTTCCAAGAAACCTGGTATTATAATTGGTTGTCTTAAAGTTCGTATCACTAGAAGGCTTAAATTTTTCTCTTCACATATCTGCATGGGTGTTTGTGTGTGTATGTATGAATATGTTTCTTATTCGAATCGAAATTTTTATTAGGCCAAAAAAGTTCTAGTAAACAGTGAGAATAAAATAAAGATTTTTAGGAAAACAAGAAATCATGACTATTTCCTTTCACCACTGGTATTAATAGGTAATAATTGATCAGTAATAGTATTATTACTTTGTCCCAGAAGTTTCTGAAGTCGAGCCCCATTGACAAAAATTCAGAAGGTTTGTTACAACTTTATGTGTCAGTTACTCTGCATATGTTGACAAAAGGCTTATGGAAAAAATTGATGCATATATTATTAAAAACCTTTTTCTATATGATGACCTCAGTATCAAATAATTCCTTCTTTTCTCCACACTTTGTGTATTTCCTACTTTCACAGAATGTTTCCTTCAAAATGTTTTCTGTTCCTCCTTCCGGGGCGAGAGTGGTATTCTTTACTCCCAGAGCTGCCTGGAGGTCGTCTGTAACTGCCTGAAACATAAACACAGCTCATGTCAGGAGTGCAGCTGAGCTCGCTTCCACTGTGCACACAGCCTTTTTAATATGTGTACTTCTGTTGGCACTGCTTCCAAGCCTTCCTGGGAATAATCGCCACCTATCATTGCTCTCACATTTTACATTTCAGACATGGCCTTGTTGCTTTGGTAACATGACAGGTAAAACATCTGGAAAATTTAAATGTACTGTCAGAATGATTCCTAAGGGTAAATATGCCAGAAATACCAGTGCAAGATCTGTAAACTGTAGAAATACATTTTAAATAAACAGACTTACTTGCTATCCCACATTTTGGAATGGGGGCTGTCCTTTTTTATTCATTTATTTTGATGTAATACAAGTAGATATTAATAAAAGAAATATAAAAAGCACTTCTTACTGCTACGTAAAATAAAATTTTATAACAAAATAATTAGAAAATCCACAGAATATAAAGAAATGCAAACATGAGAAAATAAAGCAGCAGAACACCTCAAAAAAATTCTCTACTCCTCCAAACAGTAAGTCATGCAGACTTATTCTCATGACTGGATGTTTTAAGTTTCTTTAAAGTTGTAGCCCCTCCCATTTTCTCAGAAAACTTTTTAACTTCATATTACAATGTCTAAAATTCAAGACTTTTATCAAAATATCAAGAAAAATATCAAGACTTTTTTCTTTCTCTTTCTTTTTCTGGTTTCTTTTCTGTGTTATCTCATTGCTCCTCCTTGGTTTCTTTTAGTTACTACTGACAAACAATGACCCTCACCTGAAATTAGTGTACCAAGAGCTCTAAGCTATTTTTCAGCTTTTAATCGAGTGCTCATTCTTCCAGAATGTAATTATTGAATTAGCAGATTTAGGACCTCAACTTAACAGATTTAAGATCCAAACTAAATTAATGCTATAAAGCAAAATTTTTATACATCGTAGTCTGTTATGTGTGACTAAATTTACTGCCATCTACTCAACTCATTGCCCTTATCCTGTGACCTCTTAAAGCAAACACTGGTGATGTGTGCTTTTACCAAACTAAACAGCAGCTTTCTATGTTCCTATTTATGTTTCTTTTTAGTAACATTAAAAATAGCACTC